CTGACATTAGTCTGAATACTAATGTCTCCAATGCCCACAATATTTGAATAGCTAGAATTTCCCATTTGAACAGTGCCAAAATTTGTGGAAAATGGCGTGATAGGATGCAGCTGTGTCTATCACCCATTTTGTACAGCTGTGGTCAGCCACATGAAGGCAATCCTCCTCTTCACCAACTGCAAGAAGTATTTCATCAGTTGTTGTGGCTGTCGTGTTCTCATCTCCCTTTGACTTACTACTTTGGCCTTTATCTTTCCGGCTTAAACAGTTCCTATTAGGGATGGCAATTTAAACTCGGCCCAACGGGGACTCGATCCCTCGTCCTTGATAAGAGTGATTTTTTCCTGAAAAATACCCCCAATGGGCTGGGGATGGTATTCAAAAATAAATTCCTGGTGACATTCGGGTCGGGGACGATGATACATATTTCATCCCCAACCCCCGCCCCGGTTAGCCTCGATTTATATATATATATATATATATGTTTAGGGTTTGGTTGAATAGCAGCTCCTCTCTTACACTCTCTCTCTTCTCTTCTCTTCTCTCACTCTCTCTCTTCTCTTCACACAGACGCAGTTAGCTCCTCCAAGCCACCACCGTCTCCTCCTCCTCCTCCAGGCCACTGCTGCCTCCTCCTCCGTCGCCTTTCGCGGCTTCCTCCCGTCGCCTCTTGCGGCCTCGTCCTCCGTCGGCTCCTCCTCTGCCAGGCCCCGTCCTCCGTCGGCTCCTCCTCCTCTGTTGTCGCCTTTTGCCTCCTCCTCCCTCTGCCACAGCAAATCTGAGAAGATCCCGCCACCGCCACCATTGATTTCCTCCCTCCCGCCAAATTTGTCTCTATTTTATTTTTTTTATTTATTTATTTTTTTTATGATGTTGCCGTTGATGATGTTTTTGTTGATGAAAATGGTGTTGATGATCGATGATGTTGTTGTTTGATGATCGATGATGTTGTTGATGATGATTTGTTATTGAGAGAGAAAGCTAGACAGAGAGAGAGAGTTACGGAGATTTTCCGGGGTCGGGGAAACTCGATCCCCGTTGAGGGCGGGGCCCGAGGGGGGGGAGGTGAGGGGTTCCTCGCTGGGGATCGGGCCAGGGACGGGGAAATTTGTAGCTTCGGGGATTGGGGATGGGGAGGGTGATCCCCGGCCCGCCCTGGCCTGTTGCCATTCCTAGTCCTCTTTATGTGACCTTCCTGGCCACAGTGAAAGCAAGTGAAGTTAGAGTTACCTTGACTTTTACTGTCTCTAGATTTACTCATGTTGTTCCATCTGCCTTTACTCTTGCTTCTTCCTCTGCCTCTTCCTCTACCTCTGTCTCTGCATCTATCTTCTGTGACAAGAGCATGAAACTGATTACCTTTCTTGTCTTTCCTCCTTGTCTCTTCATTGTACATGGCGTCTGTGACCATGCTCATGGTCAGCTTCCTTTCTAGTGCAGAGTTACTGAGAGAAACCACCAACGTCTCCCAACTGTCTGGTAAAGAATTGAACAGTAGTATGACTTGCATTTCATCGTCCAAGGGCATCTTGATGGTTGCAAGTTGATTCACCAGATTCTTGAATTCACTGGTGTGCTCGGTGACAGACACACCATTCTTCAACTTCAGATTTACAAGCCTTCTCATTACCAAGGCTTTGTTCTAGGCGGTCTTTGACTGGTACATTTCTTCTAATATTGTCCAGAGGGCATATGCATCTGTCTCCTGGGCGGCATGGTGGAACACATTGTAGTCTATCCATTGTCTGATACAACTGACAGTCTTCCGGTTCATCTTTATCCAGTCTTCATCATTCACTTCTTCCGGTTTAACCCCTTTTAGAGCAATAGGGTCAAATAGGTCTTTACAATATAGGATGTCTTCCATCTGCGGCTTTCATATTGCATAATTGGAAGGATTCAACTTGATCATGGATCTTGAAGTTGATGTGAATTCCTCCATTGTCTTCTTACTTTTTATAGAAACTCTAATTCAAAAATCTGACTGTACGGATCTCTCCGACATGCTCCAAATAGTTGGAAACCACTATTAGGTCGCTAAAATCGGACTTTAAATGGCTCAGATCTAGCCAAAATAAGTTCGACGGTTCAGATCTGTGGATGTACGTAGCCGCGTAGCACCAGATAACCCTCTGCCTCTAGGTTGGGTCGAGTTAAACTGGTGGGTTGACTGGTCAGCCGATGTGATGACATGGCTGACATGTGGTTGAAGCATGGCGCTAACGTGGCGTTGATGTGATTGCCAAATGGCGTGTGACGTGGCGGTCACGTCACGAACATGCGCACGCCACTCTCTTTCTTCCTTCCGCCGCGCGTTGGGCGCGTGCCTGAGACTGGTGTAATGCGCCGATACCGTCAATGGCGCGTGTGGTGCGTGTCTGAGACTAAGACTCATGTGCCTTCTTTAGATAACGCGTGAGAGCGCGTGGAAGCTTTTTTAGGGCTCGGCTTTGCAGTTTTGGACTCGCCTCGTTGAGAGCTTCCTCCCAGTATGCTCAAAAGTGAATTTCTAGCAACTCGATTTCTAGGCAGTTCTGAAAAACACACCCTGTTTTTTCAAAATCGACCAACGCGGCTTTGATACCACTTGTTAGGATTAAGGCACAACAGAAATCAATCACACACAAAAGACAAGAAATTTACGTGGTTCGGCAATAGCCTACGTCCACAGGAGAGATATCCACTATAGAATTTTTCCCGGAGGGAGTTTTAGAACACTCACACCTCACTCTCTCTTTATAGCACTCTCACTTACAGATAACACTCTCTGTGTTTCCTTCTCTTTCTGATGGACTAACTCAGCTCACCTTTTCCCATTTTATACACAAACGGGAATGCCAAGCTCAACCTCTGCTTGCCAACAACCAATTACCAAAGTTAATGGCAAGCCATCCTAGGTTTGAAAAACTTCAGCAAGTTTGTAGCCTCCATATTTGACTTCCATAGCCAAGTTCACATTGGTGTGGATACTCAACACCCCATTCATCACCGTGACGTCCAATGCATCTCCACTTATCCATCTCTCTCTCTCTCTCTCTCTCTCTTTCTTGAGCGCGAGATCGCAATAATGACTGCAAAAGGTTAGCAATAGTGGTGACTCTCCCCATATGATCATCACGCCTGCAACACTACGTGCAATCTCCCTAGATCCAATTTGGTAACCCAAGTCTGAACCACCATCATTTGTTCGGTGGTTTACACTCGAAGCTCCATCGTTTGTTCGGTACTAATTTTTCAAACAAGAGGCAACAATTTCAAATGAAGAGGAGTCGAACATGAGCGTGGTAGAGATGGATCAGGGTAATTGTGTGGGTGGCAGCAACAACGAATGGTTGAGATTAGTGGAAGGAGAGATCTAGGTGAAAGAAATGAGGTGTGAAGGGTTGCTAGTGGGAAAAGGGAATGTAAGAAGGAGCTAGGGTGGTGGATTGTTGTCGGAGGCGATTTGTCAACGAGAAATAGGGGCCAAGGGGAAGGTCACCGGTGGATGAAGGGGGTTGGGGAAGGGTTGCCGGTAAGAGAGAGGGGCTACTGAAAGAAAAGTGTGGGGTAACTATTCAAAGGGTATATTTGGGATTATAGTGAGGGTCCGAAGAAAAAAATTAATGCTATGTTTGGTTGGGGAATTTGGGGAGGGATTTAGAAAGAGAAATGGAAAAGGTAGGTGAAATATGAATAAAACATGCCTATATTTCACCTAGTTTCACACACCTTTTCCCTTTCCATTTCCAAATCCCTCTCTAAATCCCCCAACCAAACACAGCATAAGAGGGGAGTAATTTTGGTGGTGGAGGTTTAAAGTGGGGGATCCAAAGTAATTATTGGGGCGCTATTAGTAGCATTCTTATTTATTACCATTTTACCCTAGCACAATTTTCATTTTATTCCCATCTCTAGCTCTAACCCTAACCCTAACCCTAACCCTAATCCCAATCCCTCCCATTACTCCCACCAACTTCGGCGACCTCCCCCGCCTCTACCCTCATTTGTTTGCAACTCTTGCCACCTCCACCTCTCTTTAGTGTTGACTGCCACCCCAACCCTTTTGTAGCCCCTCTTTCCACTTCCCAACCTTTCACCAAACCAACCCTACCATCGCTATCCCTTTCTTGCCCTCCGAGTTGCTTTTACCTCAGCCCGTTGTCCACTACCATGAACCCACTCCCTCTGAAAGTAGAGTAGAAAAATGGAGGGAGGGCTGTTGGAAAGGAAAGGGGGCTGGGTGAATGGGGGGTCCTAACTACCTATATATCACATATACACTATCTAGGTGAAGTTCTCATGCAAAGGAGATGGAGTGTTGGGGGGTCATAAGGTATACATACTATATATATGAAGTTCTAGTGACTCTGTATAATAATTCTATTATATGAAATAAAGGTTTGCATTAGTGTTGACAAAAAAATCAGTTTTTATTTTTCAAAAACGCCCTTATATAAATGCAAGGGCAATTGTAACTGTTAGATTCAATCACAAATCTGAAACTGCCAATTCAAGCATATGCATATGGGCATGCACAACTTCTAGTATATATATATATAGGTAGTAATAAAAGGGGTATTTGTAATAATGAAGGGTGTAGTGGGCATGCACAACTTCTAGTAGATATATATATATATATATATATATATATAGGTAGTAATAAAAGGGGTATTTGTAATAATGAAAGGTGTAGAAGAGGTAGTGAAGGCCTTGGTCACTGGGTGTATATGTAATGAAGTGGGTACTGTAGAGGAGAGAGAAATAAAATAGAAGAAAATGGGAGGATAGAGAAAATTTTGACTGTAATGATGGTGGCACGAAGATAGGGTTAGATATGCGCAGATTTCCAAACCAAAAGGGGCTTGTGTGTTTTCAAATCACCAAACCACAAGGGAGTAGAGTGCAATTAACCCAATAGCTAATTGCCTATTGAAGTTGGGAAACAAGGCTTTGATTAAATGGAACTTATTGGCTGCCATTGTAATGTACACACCATCACCCACCCTCACCTACAAGGCTACAACCATCAAATAATAGTAGCTTCTTTCAAAGGATTTTCAAATTATTTACAAAACAAAATCACAACCACAAGTTGTCATTCTTAACTGTGAGCAATTCTATGGATCTTCCACCAAAATTATTAAACATATCTTCCACCAAATTTATTAAACATAAAAAATTCTCACCATGAGGAAAATATGATACAATAATTGTATAAACATCATCAGCTAATCAGTCAATCCAAGATGCACCCAACACCTTAGCCATGAAGCTAAATCGGTCTGCAGCTTCATCAATCTGTAGCAAAGGAGACAGACTGTTTAGAAACAGGATGGATGTAAAAAATATTTTACAAATAGATGAATTGGTAATATGTTTTGAATTGGTAAAAGTAACTTGAAATTATTATTTTTTTTAATTTTTTTTCTCATTATTTTGCTCAATATCTATCAAAATATGAATAATTTTAGTTACCAAGAAATTTGAACTATAATTTTACCCAAAAGGTGGAATGTGCGGTGTAAATTTAAAGTTAAAAGTGTTGTTGAGCCATAAAATGAATTTTCGTTCACATGTTTAGTTCTGGAAATTTTTTGAGTATGTAGCAAAATAGATGAGATTAATATAATGCTTACCATTTTTTGAGTTGGACGTCCCGCTCCATGTCCAGCCTTGCACTCAATGCGGCCAACGATTGGGTTTTTCTGTGGGCTCTTTTCCAAGCTTGTGCACAAAACATATTGCATGGTCTGAAAAAATGCAAAAAATCACTTTCAACAAGTAGGCAAAATCACAATAACATTCAGGAAAAATTGCATACACTTTGGATCAAGCTGCCCACCAAAGGCCTAGATTTCAAAAAATTACACATAATACCATATAAAGTACTGGTTGGAAAAGATAAAATGTTCAAAAGGGCTGGAGATGACATTAATATAATGCTTATCATGCTTTTCCTATTACCATGCAAGTAGAACACACTACTCAGGTTTTGGAATTCAGACATGTTACGTAACAAAACATAACATATTACATGTCTGAATTCCAAAACCTGTTCTATTTGCATGGTAATAGGAAAAACATAATGGAAGTGTTTGTTTTGTGTTTAGAATTATAATTTGAGTGTGGAATTATATTTTGAGTTGGTGAGTTTTGAAATTATAATTAAAAAAGAGAATTTGTTTGGTTATGAGTTTTAAAAAGAGTTTTGAATTGAGTGTTGAATTTTTAAAATGAGTACTGAGTTTGTGAAAAGTTATTTGATTATGAGTTTTAAAAAGAGTTTTCAAATTTCATTCAAAAATTTATAATTCATAACTAAACACACAACTTAAAACTCTATCAAAAATTTTATTCGAAGCTCATAACCAAATTCTTTTTAAAATTCAATTCAAAAAAATAATTGTTGGCAAAAATAATTTTTTATTTAAAAAATTCAAAAATTTTGGAAAACATTTTTTATTTAAAATATTAAAAAAATATTATTCATTTTTTATTTTTTAAAATTTATTGTGACAAATTAATTATTATTTCAAGATTTTTTTTGTTAATTTTAAATAAATGCCCAAATAATTTGTCATTTCGGTCTCAAAAAAATATTTTCTATATATAAAAAATATCAAAAACAAATATATATATATTTTTCCAGATAACAGGTGCTAATTGCTAAAAAAAAAAAAAAAAAAAAATTGTTCCGGTCAACCGGCCAGACGTCCGGGTAAACCCAAAAATTAAAAAACTGTCTAGGCAGACGACCGGATAGATCAAAAATTCAAAAACTCTCTGATTACCAAACATGTTTTCAAAAGAGTACTGCTATTAGCACCTCATAATTTATTTTAGACCCCCCAATTTTTAGTTTTTTTTTTAAATTACAATAATAGCCTTAAAAATAAAATTACTACAAAGGACAACATTGATTTTGGGATACTCCATCTCACAATTAAACTTACACACCTACTACATCATGAATTAGGGTTTAAGAGAGTACCCACCTCCATCACCGACCATCCATCTTCCCCAAATCCCACCTTTAAAACCTACCCACCATCAAAACTTTGAAAATCCTTTGGCGGCAATATTCCGGTTGTAACGGTGGCAATCATTTGATTACCTACACTTCTCCGACAATGACAATGAGTGAAATTTTTTCTGACAATCACAACTCCACAAGACGAGAGGAGTATAACAATAAAAATTTAGAGGAGATTCATAGTTTTGATATTGTTCTTAGCTTAGAGGAGATTGGTCTTGTAAGGGTAAGTTTCTTGAAAAAAATAGCAAAAATAATAAAATCTGTTCGTTATTTTTTCGGGACTGAACTTCCGAACATATGACCGAAATTCGGGAACACAGGCCCGAACATTGTTTGTTTGTTCAGAAACGGATAACCGAACATTATTCATAGGTTTGGACTTGTTTTACTGATCACATTTTGAAATTTAATTTGTCTTGTTATTTATTTTAGGATGATGGCAAGTTAACCGTTAAATTCTTAACATTCGCAAAACTTTTATTTTTTCAAGTTCGGGAATACAGGCTTGAACATTATTTATTTGTTCGGGAACACATTTCCGAACACAACTTCTTTGTTCGGGAATACAAGTTCGAGTATGAAAGAAACTCGCCATTTTTGGGTACACTACAACTCTGTTTTGTTTATGGCTCTCCCTCAATTCTCACCACATAGAGAAGAAAGGTAGGATATGTTACAGTAGAAACAGGAGCACATCAAAAGGCTATACCATGTTAAATAAGAGCAGTTGATCAACAAGTCAACATATCAGATGGCCAAACGAGATTAAAAACAAAAAATAAAGATCTCTCTCTCTCTCTGTAGTAGTTAGTCAAAAGGCTATACCATGTTGTGCCTTATATGAACATAGACAGCATTCTTCTTCTTCTTATTTTTTTCTTCTTTTTCTTCATCTTCTTCTTCGTGGGTTTTGAAAGGGATGAAATTTTTCTTCTTCTTAGTGGGTTTTGTTAAGATTTTTTGGAAGGGAGGTTTTTTTGGGGGGTGTGGGGGGTGTTCATTCAATGGGTGGAATATTTAAAGATAATTTTAGCATTATTTGGGAGGAGAAAAGAAATTTTAAGGGTTTTATAAGTGGGGGTCCAAAGAAATGAGGGGATCCAAAATAATTCATAGAGTGTGTTAATAACACTACTCTTTTAAATGTGTTTTGAAATTGATTTGGAATCATCATTTAAAAACTGTAAGCAAATAGAAGACTAATAACAAGTGTAAAATCATGATTTGAATTACAAACCAAACACGGCTGAAGATTTTCAAGCATCCTGCTTTAAATCAAAGATAACTCCACTGTCAAGCATTCTATTCAACTCCTATCAAGATCTACAGAGTCATACACCTAGGATCTAAATGCAATGATTCACATGATTTATTAATCTCTGTCTTTTTCATATTTCTTAAAAGTCGGCCAAATATAAATAGAATAATGCACATGAATAACATCCATTTCATAATTTCATTTAATAGAATTTAATACTCAGGACATTTATCCACGCCCTAGTTAGCTGTTAAATTATATGAGAATTTAAAAAAGTGAAAAGTAATAGTTAGGGGATAAATTATAAAAATATAGTTCCTAAGATAAGTAGTGCAAAAAAAGCAACAAAAAAATGTTTAATGTGCACTTTTATCATTTGTACCAAAAATAAAACTTCAATTTATATTATTCCAATTGGAGGTTGGCGATTGGAGGAGGAGAAGAAAAAAAATAAAATAAATAAATCTGGCCAATAAGGCCAGAGGGGGTTGTGGGGGTCACCCTTGGAGGGGGTCCGAATCATTTTTGTTTCACAATCAGCTTGCTTGGTTGTGCTTTTCCAAAAACACTTTTCAGAAAATTCTACATTTTTGTTTTTCGTGTTTTTTTGTTTTTACTGAATTTTTTTAATATTTTAAGCAAATGTTAAAATGTCTCTTCAGATTTTTTCTTGTTGAATGTAGGTTCTATGATAGAGTTTTTACATATGCTTCACTGGAACTCAATATAGACAATTCCTAAAGCATATAATTTTTGTAGATATAAATATAGAACTTTATTCAGTTATTTCCACACAATATAATATAATATAATCAATTCAATGATACAACCTCACACAGATCTAACCTAGATGGTCCTTGTTGGAATATGTGAATCCTGTATATTGTGTGAATCTGGTATATTGTGCGATTACGGGATTTTAGGCATATTTCCTTATATTTGATTTTATTGTTATTCTACCTTCCTAAATTGTAACCTCCTCAATTCAGTATATATATACAAGGCTAATCATATATTGTGATTAAGCCATTCAATTTATTATCTTCTTATGTCCTGACAAGAAGGTGGATAAATATTATAACATTATAGGTGAACCTCATTGACAAAACTTGAGCAAGAAACTAGACAATTCAATCTTCAGATGCAGGGCAAATCAAAGCAAATAACATAGGAAGTAAAACATAATTGTGGCAATTAAAGACTCACCGCTAATAACTTTAACGAGTGTAATGGCACAACCCGATCATCATGATCAGCTGTCAGTAACATGGTAGCCGGGTACTGAGAAAACTGATCAGAGGATTGTTCCCATGGCCTCCTAACATTATGCAGTGGCGAGTACCTGAAGAGACATTTTAATAATGGCAAAGAGTCAAAATGATAAAATAGTTACCCAACTACCCGTCTGCTGAAAACTTCTGAGCGATGAAAAGCTAAAAGAAAAAGCAACCCAGCTCAAAAATCAAACGAGAACTGACTACTTGCTAACTGATGATGGATAAACAAGCACGACAAATTGGTCTATGATTTTCCATTAACTTCAGTGAAAGTTGAACCAATAAATAACAGTCATTAAGAGCCACACACACTATGACACAGAACTAAATGAGTTTACTCAAGACTTGCCAAAAAAAACAAAAAAAAAACAGTTACTTAAATAATACATATAACATATTTTTCATTTAACAAAGTATGCAAGTCATCTGCATTTTAGTTTTCCTAAAATGTAATTTGAAAGTTGGAAATGAGCAATAATTTGTGATTAAGAGGTGAACGCCAAACAATAACAGAAGTAAATAACTTACTCGAGATTAATTAACATATTTTACATCAAACAGAAAAAAAATACTCCATCTAAAAAATTATAATTTCAAAGTAGGAACATTATACAGGCAGATAATTCAATGAAAATAAATTCACTCACTTGATAAGCCAATGGAACTCTTCCTCCTCCTCTGAGCAGCCAAAGTCACATGTCCATCTATGACCTAGAAAAGAAACCTAAAAATCAACAAGTGATGCTAAAATAAATCAACCAAGTGAACCCACTGATTGCTGGCTGACCTATAGTGAATTTGTGAAATCTAAGCATATCCATAACACCAACATGAGCAAGAGCACAACCAAAAAGATCAGGCCTCTGTAACCACAAAATTTTACGATTTAGTTTATAGACACGATGTATTATGACAAATGAATAAACCCAAAAAATGCCTCCAAGAAAATGAATCAACACTGCTATACCTGATTAATGCAAGCCCCAATAAGAAGCCCACCGTTGCTTCCACCTTCAATACACAATTTTTTGGGTTGAGTATAACGAGAAGATACAAGGTATTCAGCCGCAGAAATGAAGTCATCAAAGCAGTTCTGCTTGTTTGCAAGGGAACCAGCCTTATGCCATCCTTCTCCATACTCTCCACCGCCACGAATGTTTGCTAAGCAGAAAATAACACCAAAATGTTTTGTGAGCACAATACGACTGACACTGAAATATGGTGTAATACTAATGTTAAATCCACCATATGCATATAACAAACAAGGATGCGATCCATCCAGAGGAATATTCTTTGTAGCCACTATGAACATCGGTATCTTGGTTCCATCTTTACTAGTAAAAAAAACCTGGAAATGAAAACCCAATCAAGAAAAAGAACAAAACTGTTGCAACATGTCACCTCAATAAAATAAAAAAATCCAAACAAAAAATAAAAACTATTTTATAAAAAATATCCTACTGCTAAATGTTTAATGGAAGTGCTTACCTGATTAACATCGAATGCTGTACGATCAAATCCAGGAACAACAATTTCTCGAAATATCTTCATATCTGGAACACCAGTGTCCAAGTTGCATTGATATATAATCCCTGGGGTAAGGAAGCTAGAAAACCCAATAAAAACCGTGCTGTCTTCACGCCTTGCACGAATCTCGGAAACTGTGCCTATGTCAATTGGTAAACGGTGTAGAAGGGACCCTGTTTTCAAGTCTCTCAATTGCAGAACATACTTCACATCACTCAAATAACTCACTACAACTTGATTGACATTAACAGCAACAGCCGATTGAAGCACGTCCTTTTCATCCTCTTCAAGGACATCAAACCAAGCAGTTGGTTCCTTGAGATCTACTCGGACTAACTTGTATTTTGGAGCATCCTTATTAGTCCGAAAGGTAAAGAGGGTATTGTCATTTGCAATAGCATCATACTCTGCATCAAAATTGTCGATAAGGTTAACAAAGGGAAGTAGGTCCTTTCTTCCCCTGTGATGTTCAAGCCCATTAACAATTGCAGATATGTCATAGTAATAAACTTTATTAACTGGTTTGCAACTCTCCGTAATGGTCAGAAGAAGATACTGCACAAAGTAAATATCCAACCAAAAATATCTATCAATGCTACAAATCATTTGAATGAACCAAACTAATTAGGGAATATTGCTTTCTATTCATACAAGTTGCATACATAGATTTAGTTGAAATACATAAATATATATATCAAGAATTTTCCAAGAGGCCATATTAAATCAAGAAATTTCCATCGAAAATTATACCAAAAAAATTGCTAAATACAATATAAATATCCAATACCATCGTATGCACGGTCATAAATGAAAATTCTTCAACATCAAAGTCAAAAGGAATATAAAAAGACTTTATGAAACTCATGTTAACATATTAGATGCAACAATTAATAGATGAATGCCGTCTCTAAAGGGAATCCATTGTTAGGATCAAACACACCCAGAAAATAATCTCACACACACAGAGAACACAGAAATGAGATTTTTTCACTAAAATGGAGCAAAATATAAAACAGAGGAGGAGATAAACTCTCACTCAACTCACAGCTCTCTCTCTCAAATTTCTGATACAATACATCATCTCCCTCCCATCTCTATTTATATACAAAGAGAGTGAGAGAGAGATACCAACCCACTAAAAATTTCTATCCTCTTTAATGGTGAATGGTGAAAATCAACAAAGACAACGGGAAGAGAAGAAAGAGCTGATCTTCTAGATGCCCAGCTCAAACCTCCTTCTCTGGAGGTGGAAGTCTTCTCACGCCATCTTCTTTGACTCTCTCATTTGCATGCATGGGGTTGGAACTAACAATTCTCCCCCTCCATACCCACATGCATAACTGACTTCTCACTTGAAGTCCATCCCGGCAATGTCTCTGCAAATTTCGAGTTTGTCTCTCGAGACCACCTTTGTAAGCATGTCGGCTGGATTCTTATCTGTGTGGATCTTGATGAGTTCCAATAACTGCTTGTCCATCACTTCGCGTATCCAATGATACCGAACATCAATGTGCTTCGTGCGAGAATGGTACATTGAATTCTTGCTCAGGTCTATGGCACTCTGGCTATCACAATGTACCGTGAACTTTTCTTGCTTTAATCCCAACTCTTGGAGAAACCGCTTCAACCACAATATCTCTTTTCTAGCTTCCGCTATGGCAATATACTCTGCCTCGATTGTGGATAAAGCAACACACTTCTGCAGCTTGGATTGCCAAGACACAGCTCGCCCTGCGAAAGTGAACAGAAATCCTGATGTAGATTTTCTACCATCAAGATCTCCCGCCATATCTGAATCAGTATAGCCTTCCAAGACTGGTTTAGCTCCTCGAAAGCATAAACACATTTTAGATGTACCCTTAACGTATCTCAGAATCCACTTGACTGCTTCCCAATGCTCTGTTCCTTGACTGGAAAGGAATTTGCTTACTACTCCAACAGCATGAGCAATATCTGGTTGGGTAGACACCATTGCATACATTAAACTCCCCACGGCGGATGAGTAAGGAATAGCCTCCATCTCTTCTCTTTCTTTTGTAAAGGAGGGACAAGAACTCTTGCTTAGCTTGAAATGATTAGCCAACGGAGTACTGACTAGCTTGGCATTTTTCATGTTGAACTTCTTAATTACCCGTTCAACGTACTTCTCCTGTGATAGCCACAACTTCTTGGCTTTCTTGTCACACATAATTGTCATGCCCAAAATTTGCTATGTAGGGCCAAGGTCCTTCATGTCAAAGGACTGTGATAACTCCTTTTTCAGTGATCTGATTGATGTGGCATCCTGTCCAACGATTAGCATGTCATCAACATAGAGCAGGAGTATGATGAAGTTTCCATTGGGAAATTTCCTGACATAAACACACTGGTCTGCAGCAGTTCTCTTGTATTCATGACCAACCATGAATGAGTCAAACTTCTTGTACCACTGTCTTGACGCTTGTTTGAGGCCGTAGAGACTCTTCTTCAATCTGCGGACTAAGTTTTCTTTCCCTTTGACTTCAAAACCTTCTGGCTGCTCTATATAAATTTCTTCCTTCAGATCACCATGGAGAAATGCCGTCTTCACATCCATCTGTTCAAGTTCTAAATTCAAATTGGCAGCTAGTCCCAAAACTACTCGAATGGATGTCTTTTTCACAACGGGCGAGAAGATTTCATCAATATCAATACATTTCTTCTGCCCAAAACCTTTGACAACCAATCGAGCCTTATACTTGACTAGGTTTCCGCTGCCATCTTTTTTCAACTTGAACACCCATTTGTTCTGCAATGCTTTTCGACCCTGGGGAAGTTTCACCAAATCATAAGTCTAATTTTTCTGCAAGGACTACATCTCTTCATGCATAGCTTGCTGCCAACAACTCTTCTCCTTATGATTCTGAGCTTCTTGAAAACTTTCTGGCTCGCCCTCATCAGTAAGCAAAATATACTCAGAAGCAGGGTATTTGGATGACGGCTTAGACTCTCTTGTTGATCTTCGTAACTGTGAACCAACAGTCTCTGGTGGAGGGGGTTGTGGCTCCCCCTGCTCAACACCCTTTGCTTTTGGATTTTCTTCTTCTAGAAATTCATCTTGCAACTCTACATCACTGGCTACATGCTGCGATAACTCTTCTTCATCAGTGGCATGCTGTGATGGTGCAGGGTTTGGAATAATTTCTGAAACATCAACTTTGGATTTGGCTGGTTGGCCAAAGTCTTCTAAGGTCTAGCCTTCTTGAAACACCACACCTCGGCTTCGAATGACCTTCTTGTTTTTCGGATCCCACAATCTGTATCCAAATTCTTCATCTCCATAGCCAATAAAGATGCATGGAGTGGCTTTGTCATCCAGCTTCTGCCTGTGCTCCTTGGATACATGTGCAAATGCTTTGCATCCAAACACTCTCAAGTGAGAGTAGGAAATCTCCCTTCCAGACCATACTTCTTCCGGAATCTGAAAATTCAGTGGAACGGATGGCGATCTGTTAATCAGATAGCAAGCAACACGAACAGCTTCTCTCCAAAATGGCTTTGACAGCTTTGCCATTTCGAGCATACATCTAACATTTTCCACAATGGTCCGGTTCATTCTCTCGGCTACACCATTGTGTTGTGGGGTTCCAGGAACAGTCTTCTCATGCCAAATACTACGAGTAGCATAGTAGGCTTCAAACTCCTTTGACGTGTACTCGCCTCCATTATCTGTTCAGAGACATTTCAACTTCTTTCCGGTCTCCCTTTCCACCATAGCATGGAATGTCTGAAAATGCTGGAACACCTTAGCTTTGGTCTTTAGGACATAAACCCATACCTTTCGTGATGCATCATCAATAAACGTCAGGAAGTATTTTCTACCACCCAAAGATTCCACTTCTATGGAACCGCAAACATCAGAGTATACTCTGCTTAACAACTCTGATTGTCTTCTGGATGATGAATGGAAAGCGACTCTATGATGCTTCCCAAATAAGCAGTTGTCACAAGGATTCAATTTCGCATCTTTGGCAAAGGGAATAAGAGACTTCTTTGCCAAAATCTGCAACCCTTTCTCAGTTATGTGACCCAGCCTTTTGTGCCACAAATTTGGTGACGCCTCATCTTCTGCTGCATTGAGGCTGTTTGAATTCACCTCCACATGAGTCTTGTACAGCGTGCCAATTGCCTGTCCTCTGGCTACCACCAGAGATCCCCTTTTCAACTTCCATATGCCTTTGCCGAAGTAGTTCTCATAGCCTTGTCGATCTAAGGCAATCCCTGAGATAAGATTCAGGCGTAAATCGGGAACATGCCTGAGGGAACGTGCCTGACATCTTTCAACACCATCGTGCACCCAACTTTGGTTTGGATGCGAACATCACCGATTGCCACAATCTTCGAAAAACTGGAGTTACCCATCTTTACTGTACCAAAATCTCCAGCTTGGTACGTACCGAAGAACTTCTTCTGGGATGTAGCGTGGTAGGAAGCTGCTGTATCTACCACCCACTCGGTGTCGTTGTCTGACATATGGAGGCATTCTTCTTCTTTAATAGAGAATAATGCAAATCCTCTGAGATAGTAACTGCAGTGTTCCCATCTTCAGTCTTTGGCTGTCTAGTGCCTTGTTTTTGTTCTCCCTTTAAGGCATAGCAATATTTCTTTATGTGACCCTCTAGGCCACAATGGTAACACTTGAACCTTGGCCGGCTCGTACTTTCTCTAGATTTCCCTCTGTCTTGAGATCTTTCTCTGCTGTGTCCTCTACTTTTGCTTCTTCCCCTGCCTCTGCCTCTGTCTCTGCCTTTATTTTCTGTGACGAGGGCATGGGATTGGTCTCCACCCATCTCTTTTTTTCTTGCCTCTTCACTAAATAAAGAATCTGTAATCATGCTCATGGTCAGTTTCCCTTCTGGGACAGAGTTGCTGAGGGACACTACCAACGTCTCCCAACTGTCTGGCAAAGAACTGAGCAGCAGTAGGGCCTGCATCTCATCATCTAACTCCATTTTGACAGTTGCCAGTTGGTTCACCAGATTTTGAAACTCACTGGTGTGTTCAGCAACAGAGATACCGCCTTTTAACTTCAAATTCACAAGTCTTTTCATCAGGAGGGCTTTGTTCCGAGCAGTCTTCGACTGGTACATGCCTTCTAACTTCGTCCAGAGAGCATAGGCATCAGTCTCCTGGGCAACATGGTGGAAGACATTGTGATTGATCCATTGTCTGATCTGGCCAATGGTCTTTCGGTTCTTCTGCTTCCAGTCTTCGTCTTTTTCCGTTGCTGGTTTAACTCCATTAATCTCAATGGGGTCAAACAAATCTTGGCAGTACAAGACATCTTCTATTTTGGGCTTCCAAATGGCATAATTGGAAGCATTCAGCTTGATCATGGATCCTGAAGTTGATGTTGATTCCTCCATCATGCAGAAAGTGATCTTTGTCTGAAAAACAGGCTTTGCTGTGGAGTCTGGACTGGTCAAATTAGGCTGAAAAGCACTTCGGATTGCCAAAAGAAAGACCGCAAATTTTTGAAAATTGATTTGCAAAATCTGACCGTATGGATGTGTCTGGAATATTCCAAATAGTTAGAA